CGCATCTTAGATGGTGTAGTGGGTGCATGTGAATGTTTGTAGCAGCCTGTATTGTTTATGTATTTGCTTTTCCTGTAACTAAGTTTGTACACGCAGCATTTTCGCCAAGTAAAGTACTTTTAAATGCTACTTGGGTCAGTTTCCTTGAGTTTTACTGCAAGAACAGAACACAAATAGAAATTAAAGTTTTGCCAAGCTTTACAGCTGGGCTCATCCTTGAGATAAGCTTTACGTCTCTGGGATTTGTAGTCCAGAGCATTACACACATTAAAGCATAACTACAGCCAAAACATTTTTTTTTATAGAGTAGAGAATGGTTGAAAACTCCTATTCTGGTCTTGGAGATGCAATAGCAAGTAGGAAATGAAATATCTTGAAAATAAAGGAAAGTTCTGAAGTCCCCATTAGAAGATTTCTTCTCTGTTCCTGTTATGATGACAACTGTTGACTTTTCCTATAACTTATTGTCCCAATGACAGTGGTCACCAGGGCAAATAGAGAGGGTGAATCTCTCTAATGGGAACACACCACAATATAAACATATAGAAAAATGGCCAGCACACCATATTGCCACAATAAAGCCTCAGTCTTATACTGAGGTCATGGATGTAAAAGTTCATGTACAAAAATAATAATTTTGCCATACTTTGTAGAATTATGTTTTTTCTACTGCAGCAGGTGGAATTGTGTTTTTTTGTTTTGTACTTGAATTGGTGAAATTATGCTTTTGTACTGGAATTGATGGAATTATTTTGTACTCTCGAATTGGTAGAATTATGCTCTTTGTGCTTAGAACCTTTTACATTCATGATCTCAGTAAATTATTGAGGTTTTATTTATGGCATCATCATGGGTCGTGCACCCTGCTGTAAGGCACTAAAGGTATAGTGCTGGATGAATTGTTTACATGCAAAAAAAAAACCTGACAGGAGTTCCAATCCTTCCAGCTCCATCCCAAACTATGAAAATTTGTATTTTACTTTATATATACAGTACTTTAAGGCCTCTTGTATGTTATTATACAGCAGCACTATATGAAGTATAGCAGAAGACAGTTTTGACATATATAT